AAAAAAAAAAAAAAGTAAAAAATGGGCCAGGAGGGGTGGCTCATTCCTATCATCCCAGCATTTTGGGAAGCCTTGGCAGGAGGATCGTTTGAGGCCAGGAGTTTGAAACCAGATGGGACAACATAGTGAGACCCTATCTCTACTAAAAATAACATTAAAATTAAAAAGCGTAGCTAGGCCTAGTGCTACCTGCCTATAGTCCCAACTACTTGGGAGGCTGAGGCAGGAGGATTGCTTGAGTCCAGGAGTTTGAGGCTACAGTGAGCCACAATTATACCATTGCATTCCAGCCTGGGCAACAGTGAGACCCTGTCTTAAAAAAAAAAAACGAAGTAAAAAATGGATTCCAAAACATCTTTAAAAACAATCATTGTGATGCACAGCTCCCATGCATCACTACTTCTCCTAACTTCCTTCTCAGTACAAGCCCTGTTCCACTTCCCTGGCAGGTAAGATGCTTCCCAAGCCTGGTTACCTCAGCAGAGTCTTCGTCCTTTCCATAGTCAGTGCTTCCCACAATGGGTTCTTTCTCCCGCATCCAGGATTCGGCCTCATTAGCATCAGCAAAGTACTGCTGGGCCTGCAGAGAGTCCTCCAGGTCCTGCCGACGCTGGGAGGCTTTGGCTTTCAGCGCTTCCCACTTTTGGTTCAGCTCGTGAAGCTTGGCCTTCACATCCTCTGCAGCAAAATGGCCTGGAAGGCGGGTAGGGAAAGAGGATAACAAAAACTATGTTGACACACTACAGAAGGACAAAAAGAAGTTTTTCTGTGTGTTCACGGCACTTTCATTACTATGTTTTGGTGAGCTGTGCCCTTTCATAATTCCAACTTTTTTGAGAGGCTCAGGTTCTAACCCTTTAAAGGACTGTTTCATTTTTTGCCTCCTCAAACCATGACCTCTACCTAGACTCTAAGAAGCAGATATTGCAAGTTGGCATTAGTGATAGTATCATAAAGACTAGTAACAGTACCACTGCAGCACTCACTTACTGAGACTGACATGTGCAGGCCCTCTTTCAGCTCTTTCCCTACTTGGTTTCACTTACTCACTACTGAGTCAGGAGAGGTGTTGTCATCCCCATTTCACAGATAAGAAATTCAGGCTCAGACCCGGGCACGGTGGCTCACAGCTGTAATCCCAGCACTCAGAGAGGCCGAGGCAGGTGGATCACCTGAGGTCAGGAGTTCAAGACCAGCCTG